ACACACCTTGAGATTATTCAAAATAACAGCTTAACTTAAATACTATAGAAATCAGTGCAAGGAAACAATAAATATTTCATCTTTCTGCTGAGTTACTTTCAATTCTCAACTCACTCTTTACACATGCATGTGTGCAACTTTGTGTTGGCACAGGTGACGCTGGATTGTCCGGGCAGCGAAGACTCTCCCCGGGTGGATAAGCTGGTGGAGAGGATCTTCCGCTGCAGCTGCCAGTCATGCAGTAAGGAAGGTGCCCAGGAGGGGGCGGTGATGCAGCTGTATCCAGCAGACAACAGCCTGGATCCTGTCCCGTCTTTATCAGACAGCGGGGTTCAGTCTGACCCCCTGCCCCACACAGACACGCACTCCTACAAGCATGTTCAACTACACACAGACCATCACTCACTACCACACACATCAGACGGGGGGTAGGTCTGTAATGTTGTCGCTTACTCCAGGGGACTTTGCCGCCCTCCCCACTCTCCCCCGACACTGCATCCTCTGTACCAAGCTGTAGTATTTTAAAGGCACTTTGAAGATATGACTTCACTTTGTGTTAAAGCGTTTCTCTAAAGGCACACACACACACACACACACACACACACTCACAGAGTCATGTTATCAGACGGTGTGTATGAACTCGTCCAAACGCAAAAGCCTGTGCACTCTTTTGTTTGTTGATTAGCACATTCATGTGTTTTTGTGCATCCAAACATGACTATAGTCTGTTAATGAGCTGCAGTCTTTTAATCTGCTTCAAATGCATTAAAGTCAGTTGAGATAACTCTCTTTAGTTGTCATGTTTATCTGAAAGCTTTCCTGCTGCTCTGTCACTTTTGTTTTTTATTTTTTCAATGTCACAAGAAATAAAACTGAAAGCGCTTTGTTTGTGTTGGCTCAAAGACCCACTTTCAGCTTCCTGTCAGGAACCACAAAGATGAAGCTGTGACTCTATTATGTGGTTGTTGTGTCACTCTTGGCCATGGCCACATGGTCTTGTTTTATTGTGACCAACAAAAATGTAGCCATGTCAGACTTTTAATCGATGCTGGTGCCACTTACTGGAGCGAATAAGAGCTGCAGGATGAGACCCTCCTGCTTGGTGGCCTAAATCTGATCTCAGTGCCACAGAGGAACCTTTCCCTGCACATTTACTCAATTATCTACTTTATTTATGGTGCTGCATTTAAGGGATGTGGTCATGTTTTTCCAGTCATCTTTAAAAAATTCTGATATGTCAGTTTTACATTTATGGAGTTTTCATTGAAGTTATTTGGCAATGAAAGATAATTTTTTGAGGGTTCTTTATTCAATACCACTTTATAATTCTGATCCACTACATTCATTTCAGGATTTTAGTTTCTAAAAAAAAAAAAAAGATTTTGTATTCAGAACAGATCAAAAACTTGAGATTAGTTGTTAAATATAGTTGTGCTCCGACGTTCATATACACTCATCATGGGCGTTAATGTCATGGTGATTCTGGGCATTCTTTGAACTGCTGTTTTTCAGGGTGGAATGATTGTGCAGCACACATCCTTCGTGACTTTAAAAAAAAGAACTGGGGGGACAAGTTTTAATTTTCTATAATCCGCACGGGGTCAAAAGTATACATGCATCCCCACTAATATTTGGTTTTTAGTTGGGACACATTTGATAGCCATTAACAAGAATCGGCAGACTTCATTTAAACTCACTGGTTTTGTAAAGTTCTGAAGATCTAAGAATTAGATTTGTAGCTTTACAAAAGTTGGGAAGGTCTCTTTAAGGTCAGACAAGAGAAAGTTGAGCTATTTATACAGATAGATATGATGGGAGGAATAAAGATGAGGCATTCAAATGTAATAACACTGTACCAGCTATCAAGCACGGTGGTGGTAGCATCATGCTCTGGGGCTGCTGCTGCCAGTGATATTGGTACATTGCACAAACTTGTGCTCAACTTGTATTTTTTAAGCCATTAAAGATACATGTTGTACAAATATATACACATTTATCTATATATTACTAGTCCTATGTGTAGATTAGTAGGCAGTATTAATTAAATATCCTAATTTTATTATGACAGAAGAAAATACAAACTCCACACAGATTCAAGCCCAGGACCCATTTCCTGTCAGAGCACTGCACTAGCCACTGAGCACCATTCTGCACTTGTATAGTTTTTCTTCAGTAACATTTTATACAGGATTTTACATGTAATAGAGTACACAGTGTGCTTGCACTGCTTCTTAAATAAAGGCTTTGACTATCAGCAAAATGATCCTTTTCTCTGTGACTGCAAAGTAAGGAATGGGGTAGAAAAACCACAATCCCCATTCTGGCCAGGTAATGCAGAGTACGTATCTGACACAAAGACTTTCAGTACAAATTCTGTCTGTGAGTAACTTGCTAAAATACAGTGATGTGGTGCAGTTAGTTTGAAGAAAATGCTGATGTTTAATATATACACAAGAAACACTGTGGTCTGTTCTGCGCTTTGTTCAGAAAGTTCACAGGTGCTCCAGCAGATGTCAGCAGATGTCACAGGTAGAATCCGGAGAGGCGACATTTATTGTGCACTTTACTTACAAAATCTTCCTCCACACCATCTGCAGCGTCTCTCCACTGCTTCATCAATCAATCTTTCATCTCCATTTCTATGTCCAGGCAATGTCTTTTCTCAGCTCAGTTTCATATCCTCCTATCTTTTTCTCTTGTTCGGTGTAATTAAATTTGAGCAGCGAAAGGTTGACTGTCTGTCTGTGCTGGAAAACAAATCGATCATCTTCTTATCTGCAGCCACACAGCTGACAATGTTCTGAGGACTGCAGAGGGAGAAACTCGCAGGGATATTTGTGGACGTATCACAGCCTTCTTTCCCCCCATTCATGTGTTCTGTTTTCAAGCTCATACATAAAGCAAAGGCAAACACCTCTTTTATGTAATAAGCTCTTAACTGTTGTTTTATTGTATGCATTTTCTGATCTTGTTTAGTTGCACTGGATGAGTGGAGCTTCTTTTTTTGCCTGTAGAGGATGTGTAGGCGTGTCCTCTGGGTTGTTTTCAGTTCTATGAATTTAAGCTCACCCTAATCTGATTTTCCTGAGATTTTATCTGATTATCTGACAAGACTGGCTTACATTCACTTCTATAAACTGCAGCAAAGGTCACTTGATTGGACAGACACCAAGATAAACAGGTCTGGGCTGTGAGTAGCCAATGATGTAGTACAACTGTTTAAAAACTGATAAAAATACATGGTGCTACCACCGTCCACTCTGTTTATTAGATATTAGCTATCATTTATAAATGTAATAATGAAGAACATAAACACTGACCACACCCTGGAGCACATTTCTGCATCACAGAGAGAAAAAAGTGGTCTGTGAGCATGAAAACGGACGTATCTGTGGTCTAAATATATCTTTTTATTTTGCTGTTTTAAGCTTACAAATATAGTAAACACATATATTTGTGTAAACACTCAGACAATTTATTAGGTATAGCTTGCTAGTGCCGTGCTGACCTCTCTTTTGTCTTCAGAGCTGCTTTAGTTCCTCATGGCACAGATTCACGAGTACAGGGAACTCAGTAACATGTTGACCAAACCAGTTTGAGATGATTTGAGTTTTGCGACATGGTGCATTATCCTGCTGGAAGCAGTGACCGGAAGATGGGTACACTGTGGTTATAAAAGTGTGAGCATGGTCAGCAACAAAACTTAGGTATGCTGTGTTAGTACTAAGGGACCCAAAGTGTGCCAAAAAATACCCACGAACACCATTATACCCCCACCAGACTGAACAATGATAAAAGCCAGGAGGGATCCATGCTTTCATGCTGTTAACTCTAAATCCTGACCCTACAATCCGAGTGTTGTAGCAGAAATTGAGGCTCATCATATGATCACAGAATTTGGTGAGCCTGTGAATTGTAACCTCAGTCTTCTGCTGTTGTAGCCCATCAACATGTTGTGCATTCAGAGTTGCTCTTGTGCTCACCTTGGTTGTAATAAGCTGTTATTTGAGTTACCGTTGCAGTCTCATCATTCTCTTCTGACCTCTGCCATCAACATGAGATTTTATGTGGGTGAAAATCTCATCTTTGTTATTTGTCATTTTGATGGTCAGCTTGGACCTCAGCAGGTTGTCTTAACCATGTCTACATGCCCAAATGCCCTGAGTTGTTGCATTGTGACTGACTCATTGGATATTTGTGTTAATAGGCTGTTAAATACATTGTACCTCATGAAGTGTCCCGTCAGTGTATGTGTTCGCCATTTATGGAGGTTTTCTAATTTGTAACTAATGGCTTAAGTAACGGCTTTGTATATGAGATATGTAATCTTTTCATAGTTTCTATCCTGAAAAAGAAAAACTCAAGTAAAGTACATATATCTAAAAATTCTACTTGAGTACAGTAACAAAGTAGTACTCCGTTACTTCCCACCTCTGATCTTAAGGTAAACTTAAACTGTTCAGTATCTGCGCTTTGCCTCTTAGAAGTATTTCCAGATGTAAAGAAATGATCACTCAGCCTTTGGTAAGTAAAGCTTATAAACATCAAACATCACTAAATGTTTTGGATCAAATTTTCTGCCTCAACAGTGCATCGCCGAGACGAATGTAAATCACAAAGCAGATGAAAAGAGAACGATTTTCCACAAACTGGCAACTAAGTATGAAGAACTAATGTCTAAATAGTAGATGACGTTTTTAGGTGAAACTTTATAGAGAAAATGTAGCAACAGCGGTGACGTGTAACCATGACACCATCCTCCTCCTCCTCTGTGGCCCTGCCAGTTCACTTTACTTTGTCGTTGATAAAGGGGTCTTGTGAGACACTGCCCCCTCCCACCCCCACCACTACTATACAAACACTTAGGAAAAATAGTCCAAGCTGTCAAGCAACCGCGTGAGTGCGCATTTTAACATTGGAGAGCGCGCTCCGGAGTCGCTCGCTTCCGCGGGAGCACAGAGGATCCTGAGAGCGCAGCAGCATCACTTGAGCAACGCAGGGTCCGACTCACAGGTGCTCCTCTGCCGCCGCTCTGCTCTTGAACTGGCACCTGCCGTTATATTTGCTCGAAAACTAAAAGTTCAGAGTCGATTGCTGGGAGAGAATTTTCTCAAACACACAGGGATTACCGCGGTTTACAGCTACATCAAGGTAAGAAAAAATAATTCTGCTTGTTTAGTGCGTGTGATTAGAAGAAAAACCAGTGTGAAGCTAAAATTAAAAAATAAAAAATAAATATGATTTTAGTGGAGTCAAAAAAACCGACCTAGAGGGAGCAGAACATAGGAGTGGCTCACAAATTAAAGGAAAACTGAAAGTCTTGGTAATGTGTTGGGTCATGAGAACTGCTGCGGTGCACTTTAGCATTGATTCGTAGAGGAAGCATGGACACCACATTATCCAAAACACAATATGGTGGAGAACACTGCCTTACAAATCTGTCCAGAGTCACCCATATCAGTTCATTTGTATTGAGATGTGGTGACTGTAAGGTCACATGGGTCAAATCATTTTCTTACTCATCAAACCAGTTAGTGAGCCCTGGTGCCCTGTGGATGAGGGACATTTTCCTCCTGGAGGAGACCACTCCCATCAGGATTAAAGTGTGTAATCATTTAAACGTTGGTACAGAGGGATACAAGTGGACAAAAACAATTTGCATCCACAGCAAAACAGACTCTCTTATGTTTAAGGGTCTTTTACTTTCCTTTAATTTGCCACCTACATGGATGTCCATATGTGGTTTGTGTCTCTAGCTCAGCAGCAGGTCGTTTAAGCTTTAAGTATTCAGTCATTCAAGTAAAAAAAGAAATGTATTTCTTTCTGGCTTTAGTGACAAAGACGTGATCGAAGAGATCGACCAGACGAGTGACGGGAAGATACTGAAAAAGTGTGGATACAGTATGTGTGTGTAGGTGAAGTCAATATAGGCTTTAAGTTCCCATTTCCATGGTCTGATGGGTTATTGGCTGGTTGAATGGAAAAGGAAAAGGAGGCAATTCAAGGACAGAGCTCTGTTTGCACCTCTATTATTTAATTTAAGTTTCAAAATTCAGCAGGCATGCATTTATAATTACAGCATCCAGCCTGGAGAGGATACTTTAGCTACGTGTGGTTGTTTGAGTCAACATAATAGTGGTGATAAATAAAAAGAAATGGACTGGTTAAACATGCAGATATTGTCCATGAATTTAAAATAGGCTCAGTTTAAACAGCCACAGTAATGATGTGCAAGATTTTTTTTTTTTAAAAAAAAGGACTCCTGCAGCACAGCGTCATTCTGTAGCTCGTAAAGTAAAACATTAACTCGATCAGACGCTGTCTCACAGGATGTGCGGTATGGATGTGGACCTGGACGACGGCGGTTCTGCCGAGGAGGAGAAAGAGGAAGATTTCTGGATCGGAGAGGGCGTGAAGATGCTCCCCCCGCCTGTGGCTCACAGCGGGGGCAGCGTTTGGGGCAGCCGTAGGGGCAGGTGTGGCTGTGTGGCCTGCGGGGCGGCTCTCATCCTCTGGAACCTGTGCGTGGTCTTAGCCAGCGCTCTGCTCCTGGCTGTGGTCTTCTCTGTGGTGCTCCTACCTGCAGGGCTGCTGCTGTATGCTGGTTTCCTCTGCCACTCCAGGGTAAGCTGTAAAAATCTGTAGCAGAGAGTACCACATGTTAGATTGCAAAGTCTTATCTGAGTTAGTCATGCCTGCGGATTGGTGATATGTTTTTATTGATTAGCATTCAAATATCTCAGTGAAGACAGAACAAAGAT